CTCACAATTTGGTGGGACAGGCCCTTAACTTCTGCCGGAAAAAAATCATCCTGTATATATGTTAACTAGAAAAAACATCTCTGTCATTACCGATAATGGATTTGTAAAAAAAGTCGTCAGCAACAATGTCCCATAAAAATAAACAAAAGAATCCGAATATCGAGGTATCGATTCTTGGTGAAATTTTCATTTCAGTAATGTTCCAGTTCTGTAGGCGGGCGGTGACGTCATTTATCTGCTTAGATGGAATGCACGGCCGTGTGAGCAATCATTTTCGTTCAGTTGAGCAGAAAACTTGGCGAGAACTTTTTTACACGATTTTTTTGTTCGTACAAAACTGACACCGGCCTTTGAACCGACCTATTCACTTGTTAACGTATTAGCAACTTTTAAAAACGTCCAACACAATATTGTTCGCGATATAAAAACGACTATCAAAAGATTTGTGAAAAAATTTGGACTATAACTGACGAAAGCGTTATGTTTTTTTCTACAAATTTTTATGTACAACTTATTAGTGAAAGTTATTTGTTTTAATAAATTAATATTAAGAGTAAAAAGTCTAAAAATTTAAAGAGAAATATTGTCTACCCTTTTCTTGGTAGTGTATCTGTAGAGATACATCAATTTTTTTTCCTAAACACTTTGGGTCATCAAGGTTAAGTGCTATGAATATTATTTTGATATTCGAAAAAATAAAATTCTGCAAAGTTAAGGGTTAAAATCTATGGTGACAAATTGACAAAGTCATGAACTATAGCTAGTATAGAATAAGATAGGAAGAGAAAGTATATAAAATGGGTCACGTTTTGAACCGTCACGTGACTGCTTTGAAAATGAATATAAACTCATGATTCATTCATGACTCAGCATTATTTATCCTTCGTCCTTTACCCTATCGCTGCTTGGTGCATTAAAGGTACCTAAAATAATACTCCATTTGTTAACATTATTTTAATCTGAAGTAACAAAAAAATCTGTAAAAAAAAGTCTGAGATAATTTCAAAAGTAACGAGGAAATATTAACAATTTTTTATTAACAAATTTCTTTCCAAATTCCTCCATTTACAATTTTAATAACCAATATCCTTGAGAAGTCTAGGTACAATCGCGAAAATCCGCGGTGTTCCACTTAAAGAAAATCTTTCAAGTGATTGTAGCTTTAAAAATTAAAACCGCCAGTGTCTCCAACTGTCCGTAGCAAAGAATTTTAGTCATCCTCTATCAAAAACAATTGAATAAAAGCAATCGTATGCTTAAACCCTTCAAAAAACCTCAAATCACACGTCGTAATTCATTACACTCCTACATCATTACTACAAACAAATGAAGGTAACTCTGAACCACATACAAAAACAATTCGACCGTAACTGGAAACAAGATACAAAAAAAACACCTCGGGGGCGACAAATTTTTCACTTGCCACGAAAACTCGGTTTGCGTGCGACTGTAAATAAAGAGCTCGACCGTAGCGTCAAAAAAGTTGTAAAAAACGTACTAATGTTTTTGCCATCCTTACATGAGCGCAGTTGTTGCAGATATGAGGTACAAAAAACCGTGTAAACGTTTTAAAGCGTACGAAATAGTAATTAAAAAACCAACGCTCGTTCAGTAAATAGATAATTTTAATTGAAAACTAAGTAGGTTTTCGAAGAAATTAATCTTACTATCTCTCTAATATTATAAGTGCGAAAGTTTAGATGTATGAATGGATGTTTGTTAGAGTTTGTAGCCTAAACGGCTGAACAGATCTCGATGAAATTGTAGAGGATAGCCTGAACACATATGCTACTAAATTTTGTTTTTTTAATTCCACGCGGACGGAGTCGCGGGCGAAAGCTAGTTTTCTTAATAAATGATGCTTTCATCTATGTATGCATCATTATGTATGCAAAGATGGATGGATGTTTGTTAGTTTGTAACCTAAATTGCTGAACGGATTTCCATTAAATTTCGCATAGATGTAGAGGATAGTGTGGAAGAACATATAGTCTACTCACCTTTGTTTTTTTATATCGAGGACGGAGTCGCGGGCGAAACATAGTTATCAATATCAGAGGCCCACTTCTAATTACAACGTTTAAAGCTTGTTGTTACTTTTAAATACGTAAAATTATAGAGAAATCAGTTGAAATCTACAAAATATCCATCCAAAATCTACGTCACAATATTATACATATCGTTAATCTGTAGGCGTTTCATGTTATTCCACTGGCGATAGTAATTTAAAACGCACGGTTTTAATTAAAACACTCGATTGGTTTTTCCGATTACCGCGTAACGGTTCGCGCTCCGATGCCTCTGCGAATTAAAGTAATTGACCGCTGTTAAAACCCAAATAGAATATACAAACACGTTTAAACTAAATTGCCAGGTAAGCTTTCAATAGTATGCGGCTGTTAAACGTCAATGCTTTTTAAAATCGCTACAAGTAACGTGGAAACGACCCTTTAGTCTATTAACCGGACATACTTCTACATAAAGAAATCCTTAATCTAGGTTTTTTTATAACATAAGGTAGTAAACGAGCAAGCGACCACCTGAATCCGCCAAAATGGCGAAGCGACCGCTGCCCATAGACATCTGCAATTGCGATGCGTTGCCTACCCTTATCCGACAGGGGAGGAGGCGCACTTAAAGAGAATATCTCCCCTTCCTATGTATCTCCTCCTCCTTCAAATCCACTTCCTCACATTCTCTCCTTATAAGAAAAGGATGGTAAAGAGAAAGGGACCTAAATTAGGCCTCCGGTTAAAAATCGATGCTTTACTATTCATTTTTTTTCTAGCCAGTTCTAACTGACCTTGTAGATCTAATCTGCAAGTTGATTTTTTTTTGCTTGAATTAAAAAAAATGACAAAGCACGTATAAAATAAAGTATAAGTTAGTAAAAGTAGTTTGTACTAATTGCTATCAGTGAGTTTTGCAGCGTGCGTTTAACAGACGTTCCGCCTTTTACCCACAAGAGACAGCTTGATTTAGTGCCGCTGTTATGGCGAATGGAACGTTGTAGTTCATATTCTTACGTAATACGTTATAAGGGAAATAATTACGCTACATTAGAACGGATGCTTTTACGTAACAGTGAATTAGAACGCGGGTAATATTGTTTACTTCGCTTAGAATGATCATACTTCATACCTAATATTATAAATGCGAAAGTTTAGATGGATGGATGGATGTTTGTTACAGTTTGTAGCCAAAACGACTAAACGGATCTCGATGAAATTTGGCATAGATGTAGAGAATAGTCTGGAAAAACACATAGGCTACTCACATTTTGTTTTTAATTCAACGCGGACAGAATCGCGATCGAACACTAGTTAAATATACTATAAATGAAAATATACTGACACGCACTGTATTGCGTAAAACGTATCTAATAAGGTTCTCAGAACATGAATTTTCCTAACCTATGAATGCTTTATTGCTTAATTTTAATGGACTTTCTGTCTAATGGACTGACGGGAATTACTTAAATACTCATTAATATGAAAATTATTAAATACAATGCAATAAATTATTACATTTATCATACCTGCATAAAATCTGTCTATTTTATTAAATATTAATAATATAATTCTATGTAAAATATCACCAATCTCCGGATGCATTTGTATTTAAATTTCCGTAGTGTAATATTTTCTAAATAATCCCTTATAAAAGTCTCGTTGAAATTTTTAATTCACATAATGCGGCTTCCATATTTAGCATTGCAATGGAGTAACGTGATGACGCACGCTACCAAATGAGTTATGTTTTTTATTGTTCCCGTCGCCTACTCTTGCAGCGACCTATGCATAAAAAGCGTTCATTTACAGTAATGCTGAATAATTTTTATTTAATTATAATCTAGGATAAAGATTATTTATTATTTAATTTTATTATTGCTTCATATTATAAATAAAAATGTTAGCACAAAAATTGCCAAGAAATTGAAGAGACAGTCTTTATCTAAATAAAAAGTTATACGAGCGTATACCCATTTTTCATGAACCCTAATTAAAACATTGTGACTTCCGGAAGGGTAAGGATTCGAGTAAACAATTAAAGGTCGTTTTAACGATTTTACGTAACTGAAGTCATTTCCGTACCCCTTTTATGGCGGCCCTTGAATATGAAATGTCTTAATATGGGGTGCCTGCCGGGCTTTGGAAACGATCTTATAATTTGTACACATAAATATTGGAAACCTTTATTAAGAAAGTCGGGAAGAACCTTGACAAAATACAATACGTATACAAAACTTATTGTTTTAATAATAATTGTGATAGCAATATTGTCTTGTATACGTGTTTCGATAAATATTAGTTTGAAGGCTACTAGTGCCCTGGGTTAACGACGCCCTCTAGGTTATGAGACTGTGTAACTCATAGACCTGTGACGCCCCTTTTTGCCCAGTGCCCTGGGCGGTCACCCACTCACGCCCTACCCGGTCCTGGTATGTAAATCCACGGTGAATGTGCGCTGTCGAACATGTCACAAACAGCTTCATTATTCCAACGCGACGAGAATAAATTAAAGGTCACGAAGTGAGAGAAGAAATGTCACTTGGCAGACGTTTTCTCAATACCGAGGCAGAAACGCTATATTAATTCAATTTAATTCATTTATTCAGCAAATAGGCCGCCAGGGCCAATAAAAATTGGACTTTCCGACGTTTCCTTAACGACTTTGGATGAGAAGTTACGGAAAGAAAAATTCATTTAAATATTTTTCTCGCCGCTTTCGAAATTTGTTTGTCTGATAACAAGCAAATTTAAAAAGTCCAAATCGTGATACACAAACTACTGTGCAACCGAAATTTATGTTATTTAAAATTGGTTTAATTACTGTCAACCAGAAATCATAAAATCAAACCAGATTATTCCTCTTTAAATTCCTTTAATCAATAAAACTTTGTTTAATTAATCTATACAAAAAAAAAAATCCGGGATAATTTGTAACAAAACGATGATCATGCGTTGTAGACCCTGTGAAATAATTAAAAATCTGCTTACCCTTGTGCATGCCGGTGTGTTTGTCTTTCAGCACCGTTAACTCATAGATCTTGCCGAACTCTTCGAACATTGGCCGGAGATCATTCTCCTCCAGATGCCTCGGGATCTGACCAATGAACAGTTTAACAGCGTCTTTACCAGCCCCCGGCGGCGCTCCCGTTCTCTCCGAAGGTGTCTGAGGGGGAGGGGTGGATGGCTTCTCTTCGGAAACATTGTGCACTGGTGTAGGAGGACTCGAGCTGACTGTGGACGCTTGCCGCGAGTGGTCCGGTATGATCAACTGGTTGTGCATAAAGGCCGGGAACAGCAGAGCCGGGTTGCACAGGCTCGCTCCTACTAACA